TTCCTAGTTAGTTTTTTCTTAAACCCAAGCCAGATTAAGTTTTAAAATTATGATAACATGACATAGCAATAATAATAAAAAAAATAAACTAAAGTAAAATATAGCTTGATCAGTAAATAATCTAGGGTTCATTTGTATTAATAACAAGATTTTTTAATGGAATTTAATCTTAAAATTTTAGTTTTAAACCAAAACTTATTTTGATAAAATCATGACATTTAAGTGATAATCGAAGTAAATGGATGTTAGATTATTAGTCCTTATATGATTTTCAATATATATATGCCTTTGTTTTGATCATATCTGGTCTAATTTGGAACCAGCATTACTGGGTTGGATTTTAGTGTTCTTCGTGTGTGTTTTTTCTATCTATTTGGTTCAAGAATTTTTCAGTCTTTTTGTGTGTTTTTTTATGTTTAATATGTTTTTTGTATTTGGCTTTGTTTTTTGTTTGTTTTGGGTCAAACTATAATTTTTTATTTGATTTATGGTCAAACTAAAATTTTAAAATCAACCTGGTTGGGAAAAAATTAGGCAAAAGAGTTAAGACCTTTTTGGTTTGTCATGTTTTTGTTAAAGATTTTTTTTCTTTAAAGGTGTGTTTAGCAAATACCATTTAAGTCTATTTTAATAATTTTATTACAAAGAAAAATAGGTTTTTGCCTAAAAAATAAAAAATAAAAACAAAATTCTTACATGTGACTAAAAACCTAAAGTTATTTAAGCACATTTCTTTGAAAAAATCTAAAATACTTTGGCATGTTTAAAAAAATTTATTACATGAATTTCCAACATGTTTGAAAAATAAAAACTGACTTATTTGACATAACCCTAGATAGACAGATAATTAAAAAACACAACATTACATTAGTTTACATCAAACAAATAAATAATGTAGCTTATTTTATATAAGGTATATTTAAAGTATTAATATCTTCTATTTACATAATCAATCCCCTTACTCATATTCTTAGACTAATTAGGAATTTTAGTGACTAAAATATTAAAAAATGACTCTAATTCTTTTTTTTTTCTACTGATAAAAGACAAGAACTCCTTGTCATTTCCACCCATATCATTCTGACAATCCCGATCTACGTAGATAATCGTTGTAACGTCGCACATGTGCAACACTTAATATAAAAAACTTATAGGTGTCCTTTGATATATTTGTGTTTCAATTTTAATCATCATTACTTTAATAGCTTTTTTTTGTTTCTTTTAGTCCTTTTGTGTGATTTAATTTTTTATTTTTCTAAGTTTATCCTTTAATATTTAGTTGGTTCATAATAATTGGGCTTCGTTATTTATCTATATGGGATGCTTCTAGTCTACTAGCCTAGATCACGGATTTAGGAAGCTAGCACAAGTTGAAATATTTTTTTATTTTATTTTTTCAATTTTATTATTTAAAAAAAATAAACGTTGTATCTCATGATTTAGATCAAAAGTTGTATCTCATGATCTAGATCAAAAGTTTGACGGGTTTATCCATATCAGCTCAACCTTAATTAATTGGATTACAAGTTTGTTGTACTAGCTTGAGTGGATTTATGCTAAATTTTTTATTTATTTTTATCTCATTTCATCATTTTGTACATATTCAGCTAACAATTGAGTTGCATCTCGAAAAAAGTTTTTTTCTTCTTTTTAATTTTTTCCCCTAGGTTATTGTATCCAAATTTTCTTTATTTAGTATATTTATTATTATTATCTCTTTTTTATTCTCTAATTAAAATAAAACTGACTTATTTAATATATCTAGTTTTATAATCTAAGTTATAGATTTTTTTTTATTCTTTAAAACAAGCTTGTGACATTATACCATAAGTTTTTTGTGATGGTTTCTATGGTGAGGCACAGGCCACATCTAATAACTTATACTAACAGAGGGAATCCTGAACTTAGACAAATATTCAAAGCCAACCATACCTTTTGATGGTACACAAAGCTTGTAAAGCCTAAACGGCAACCTTTGTTGCCTTAACGCTGTTTGGGTCGAGGCCCAAACAATGGCACCCATGTTATTTAAGCCCGGTCTAAATAAACTACATATCACACTTATATTTTATGACATTTTTTGCAAGTATAAAAATTTCATGCGGGCACCATATATTTTATTCAATGTTCAACGATACAAACACGAGCTATTTTGAATTATTTTCTATGCCATTTATATGTCTTTTTCATCATCGAAATTAATAATAATATTAGACACTACCTGATGATAAATATTAATATTTTCACTAATTAATTCTAATATTATTTTTCATGATTAAGATAAGCCAAAATGATTAATATCTATAAATATCTTAGATCATTAAAAAAAACAAAAAAAAAACTTAACATTTCTCAAATCAACAATTCCCTTTACATATATTTGCTTTCATAACTTAAACATGAGTTTTTTATTCCACAAAATACTTGTTTTTTCAAGTGAATTTTCACTACTAGTTAAGCCTAACAACTAGGTACAACTAGCAAGAAATAGGATTCAAACCCATGAAATACTTATAAGAATATTTTTTTGATTCCATCATTTTTATAAGTGTTTTTTAGACTAAGAGAAATATAAATACCATGTTATTAGCTACTAGTTTAGTTGTCAATTCAAAATTGCAAATAAAAAATAAAAAGATCATGAAAGATATGAAATAGAATGAAAGTAATATGGGTGGCCCATGATAGAATTTTTTGCATAAAAACATATAAAAAAACTAATATTCAAGAGAGTTAAATCTATAAATAAAACTAAAGAGCCAGTAACATCCGACTTAAAAGTAATATTTATAGTATTAATTATAATATCAATAATAATATTATTAATATAAATAATAATATTTTTAATATTAATAATAATATTAAACTTATCTGACCTATATTTTTTTACAGTTTTCTATCCATTAAAATTAAATTTATGGTTATTCTTCAATAATAATAATATTTTTTTAAAACATTAATAATAATAACAGCAACAACAACAACAATAAAAATAATATTAATGATTATAAACTTAGATATGACACCCTCTAGCCAGACCCCAGTTTTTGGCGTCTAATTCCCCTAATAATAATAATAATATATTAAACTTATTTGATCAAAGTTCTTATATTTTTTTAATCTCTTCAAATTAAATTTATGATTTTTCTTCAATAATAATACTAATATATTTTTAAATTTAATAATAATAAAAATAATACTAATAATCATAATAATAACAAGAATAACGACGACGATGACAAAAAGAACAATTTTTAATTTTACCTTTCAAATAAAATCAATGGTTTTTTAATAGTAATAATATTTTTTTTTTAAAATTTATTAATAATTATATTAATAATAGTAATACTAATGAAAATAATATTATTTATAATATTAATAATATTATTAAACATGTCTGACCGAAGTTCTTGTAATTTTTAATTTTACTCTTCAAATCAAATCTATGTTTATTTTTCAATATTAATAATATTTTTTAAAATTTATCAATTATTATATTAACAATATTTTTAATACAAATAATAATATTTTTAATAATAATAATAATATTAAATTTGCATAACTCAAATTTAAGTGAGTTTATTAGAACACTAGGCCTAAGAGCCTTATGTATGGCTGTAATAGTAAACTCAAGATCTTTGAATGTGAGTGGTTGCAAGTTCGTATTATGAAAATGTAATGATTAAATAAAAAAAATTAATATTAAAAAATAAAATTCAAAAAAAAAATTAATTGAAAAAGAATAAACAAAATAAAACATTATTCCAATAAATAGTGCTTTGCAATGAGGGGTACAACAAAATCTCCTTACAAGATTACAATAATCTAATAAAAAGTAATCAAAATAAATTATAAAGTTTAATTCTCAATTAAATCGATATTAAAAAATGAAATTAGAAGGAAAAAACTAATTAAAAAATAAATAAATCTGAATCAACTAGATTAACTTGTCAAACCTTAGATTCGTATTATAAAAATATAATAACTAAATAGAAAAAAATTGATAATAATAAACTAAATAAAACAAAAAAATTAATTAAAAAAAATTATATAACTAAACTGATGTTATAGTTAATGATAGTACAATATCCACAAATATAAATTTGACATTCGTTATATTTATTAAACGTTTTGGGCTACCGTTGACTTGATAAAGTCTTTAAAAAAATCAATATCATACCAAAAAAAAAGTTGAAGTCAATTTTTACATTGTTTTTCCCTTATTTTCAAACCCATAATTTTTAAATCTAGTAATTAACCCAATCTAAAAATTATCAAATATTGATAAGATCACTGAATCATTCCAGATCAATCCTAAATTATTAAAAAAAATAATTAAAGAGTTGCAGCCAATTTTTTAATCTAACCACCTAAAATTTTGACTTTCTTTAGTTTTTCTTAATCAAGCTCGGTTTCTTCACAATAAAAAAAGAATGTGATTTTTTTTTAATTCTATTTCACTTTATAAAATCATATCCAAATACATTAATGCAAAATAGTCTTATATGGCCAATATGTTCTTTATAAGTAAGTTTTAAAATATTAACATTTTTTATTTTACTTTATGAAAAGCCGACGTGGGCTAGAAAAGAGATGACATCGAGGAATTATCCAGCTTTGCCATAAACTTTAAAACTTCAATGGCTGTGTCCAAGTGGAGAAGAAGAGCCACAGTCACCTGTCTGCCTCTAAAAATTTCCGCAGAAGCACACCTTAACAACAGACTGAAATCAATAGCATGACTCTGCACCCCGCAAATTGAAGTCAACGTACCCAAAACTGAAGTATTCTAGTAATTTTCTAACATCGTAGTAATAAACAATTGTCATGCATCCCATTTTTATAATCAGTCAAGTTTGTAAAGGCTTGAACTAAGTTAATCAATCTGAATCAGTCAAGTATCAAAATTATGTTTTTTAGTCACCGAAATCAATGGCAATTAATTGCGTTTACTTCACTAAAACATAATAAATGGCTTAAAGGCCACTTTCTTTATTGTGTCTTGAACAAAACAAAGTACTTGTTTCTCCCATAATGAATTTCCTCTCAAAATCATCTGTTCTGCTTCTGTTTGTGCTTTGCTGCACCAGCTTCACTTCCACAGGTGTGCGAGATCTTCTCCTTTTCTTATGTTAAGACTTTAGTCTTTCCAATGATGGAGTCTTTAGCTATTACATTTGTTGTTTTTATGCCGATGGGGTTTTAGACTTCAGTCTATTCACAGATCTTGTTGCCTTGAAAGTATAATTATGTTGATGCTAATGGGTTTTCATTGGAGTCCTCAGCCTACTCTACAGCTTTTACCATGAATTCGAGTATTCTATTGGGACTTCGTCCTAGCATGATTATTAACTATGAACATACAGCTAACGGGCTTTCACTGCACCATCGAGCCTTTCCAGTTTTACGATCTAAAATCTTAATTTCTACCATGGATTCGAATTCTGTTTTTGGTTTCTTCATTTCAGTATGATTATTCATTGTGGAAATACAACTAAAAGGAGAATATCGGACTCTTTTGTATTCCCTTAGGTGGCGCAACATATGATATTATTTTCCTTCCACCTTTTATTTTCTTCTTTTCTGATGGTTTAAAGTTCCTGATAGATTAAAGATATGATATGATCACAATCTCATTTTAATTGCTAGCTACTACATGTTTTAAGCTCTCAGCCGTTCTCCCTATCAGTTTATGACGTGCCTTATTCCTTCATATAACTACTTTTGCTGCCATTGTCTCGTAACACAAGAAGCTGTTTATCAAATTTTCAGAAGCCTATGATCCTCTTGATCCAAATGGGAATATTACAATCAAATGGGACGTTGTGAACTGGACTTCTGATGGCTATGTAGTAAGTATCGATCACTGTACATATATATTCAATCGAATTCCAATTAGTATAGCAGGCAATGGATGCACTCTAAATTTGGTATTTTGGCTAGATTATGTAAAATATCCAGCTGCAGAAGGGTCTTTCAACTCCGTACTGGACAAGGTGTTTCTTGGGAGGTTATGATGCTATTGATTAATATAATCAGTCCTCCACCATGTGTATTTTTAACGACCATTTTACTTGAGGTCTTGAGAGTTTCTTGAGCCTGGTAGCTTCAATGGCTGTTTACAAGTTTTAGGGCAGTTCAAGTTTTCCAAAGCCACGAATCAATAATAATTTTGGTTATCTTTTCATTGCAGTAGTTTCATTTGCTAGCATCCGTTGAACCCGTAGTTTCTGTTGAGCATCTTATATCTTTGGTTTGCTAACATCTTCATGAATGGATAGGCTGTCGTCACAATCTACAACTACCAGCAGTATCGCCACATCGAAGCACCGGGTTGGTTATTAGGATGGACATGGGCAAATAATGAGGTAATATGGAGCATGTTTGGAGGCCAAACAACAGAGCAAGGAGATTGTTCAAGATTCAAAGGCAAAATTCCACGTTGCTGTAAGAAGAGTCCAACAGTTGTAGATTTATCGCCGAGAACTCCTCGCAACCAAAAGATTGCAAATTGCTGCAAAGGGGGATTAATCAGCTCGATGGTGCAAGATCCAGCTCATGCAGCAAGCTCATTCCAGCTCAGTGTGGGTTCAGCTGGAAATACCAACAAAACATTCAGGATACCCAAGAACATCACTCTGAATACACCAGGACCTGGTTATGCATGTGTTCCTGCAAAAATTGTTAGACCTACTAGATTTTTATCTGCAGATAAAAGGAGAATCACACAAGCTTTGAGTAAGAACAATAGTACTGAAGAGAGTAGAATTGCCTACATGCATTTTCTTTTTCTTTTTTCTTATATACAAAATATTAGTTGAACCCACAATTGTCTTATGCTTGATCTCTAAAATATATGCAATTCAATGAATTTTAGTTTGAAGAGCAAATTGGAAAAAATCACAAAACCAATGCCGGCCGGCCTGCCTCCCTCACTGATTTTAAACCTGCTTCCATGATAATGTTGGAATAACTTCTGAAAATTTTGTGTTGCAGTGACCTGGAATATTACATGCACATACTCACAATTCCTGACTCGCAAGGCTCCTACTTGCTGTGTCTCTCTCTCATATTTCAACAAGGCAATAGCTCCCTGCCCAACATCTTCTTGTGGCCGCGGAAAAAACAATACAGTTTCAAGGGGTTGTGTAGAGTAAGTTCCCTCCCTGGAATATGCTAGTTCTAGTTTCTTCGAGATATATTAAATTTACTATCACTGTACAATATCCTGTTTGCAGTCCAAAATCACCTCATGTTCCAGGCCAAAGGAACATCATCACGCCTCTTGTCCAATGCACGAGCCATATGTGCCCAATCAAAATTCAATGGCGTCTTAAGCTCAACTACAAGGATTACTGGAGAGTTACGATCACAATTACAAATTTGAATTATCATATGAACTATACACAATGGAACTTAATTGTTCAGCACCCCAATTTCGACAATTTGATGCAGGTTTTCGGCTCTAAATACAAAGCATTAACTTCTCTTTCAACTACTAGTAAGTCGCCTATCTCCCTGTGGTTAATCTTACATGCTTCAATTATTTATTATTGCATCTTTTTTATCACTGGAACGAAAGAAAAGGAGTTGATTCTCATCATATTGGAACTTTTCGGACACCACAGATGATACTGCCATGCTGTGGGGAATCAAGCACTACAACGGCGTGCTGATGCAAGCTGGTCGTTATGGTATAGTTCGTTTAGAGTTGCTTTTCCGAAAAGACAAGGCAACTTTTACTTCCAAGAAGGGCTGGGCCTTCCCTCACAGAATCTATTTCAATGGCGATAGTTGTGTCTTGCCTCCTCCGTATGCCCATCCCCTGGTTGCCTAGTGCAGGTTCGACCACCTTATTCCTCTCTCCTCGTTTACTCTAATAATGGCTTTCTTCAATTTCCTTTTTTGCACTGGTTTACTTACATAGACTCTCAAGGTTCACTACAAGACGTGGCAATCTGCCTAATCTGAGGGTGTATTGGAAGCCAATAATGGCGAAGACAATGGCTATATATATGGATGACATTCATCATTTCAATCGGTTGAATATGTTTTGTTATTAATTTTTTTTAAAATTAATATAAATACCCAGATCAGTTTGTTTGTGTATATTTTAATTAATTTTATAAATTTTAAAATTAATAATTATATAAGCTATAATGACCCTAAAAATCCCGAATTTATAACTATTAGAAAATAAATCTAAGAATTAAATCAACTAACCACCTGTTGTTTTGTTATTAATTATTTCAATGCTGAATGGCTTGTGCCCATGTAGTGTTTGTATTTGGCGGACGAATTCACTGGCATTTTTACTATATGCTATGAAACTTTAAACCATATAAAGGAGTCTGAATTTAAATGAGAATTCAATCATGAACATGGAAATTATATCAAAAGCATCCGATCTGTAGAAAAGACATTTTATGGCCATCAATCTTTCACAATCCTCCCCCTTCGTCTGTGACAGGCTATACGAACCTAAACTAGCCTGAGTAAGACTTTCAGTCTATTTTTGCTTATCCAGGACCTAGCCAGCATCGATCATTGAAGTCGAATTCGGAGCCAGAACTGCAGGCTTTTCGGGCTGGTCTTCAGCCTGAGAGCATTTTTAATAAAAAATGATATATTAAAGAGTCAAATAAAAAAAATAATTTTTTAAATAATATAAATATATCCTTTTAAATTATATGTATTGTAATAGTAAAAAGCTATTTAAAAAAATTATTTATATTTTAATATATTTCATGTTAAATTAATTTTAATATAATTATACAACTAATTTAGATATTTTATAAATAATATAATTATGATGTTATTAATTATATAATTAATATGATTAATTTATAAAAGTAATATAAAATTAATGAAGTAATATGAAAGTTAAAAAATATAATTTAAAATTAAATTTAAAATTTATTTATATGAATATTTTTAATTTTAAGTTTTATATGTTAAAAAATATAAGTTTTCACCTATCTTTGCTGCATTTGCTGGAGCCGTACTACTTCTGTCAATTATATAATTAATAGGCATGAATATATAATGAGATACTATTTAGTAGATAGGATTTATTCTAATTGGTCAACCTTTGTTAAGACAATCCCAAGACCATTAGGAACAAAGAGAAAATATTTTGCAAGCAAGCAAGAGTCTGTAAGAAAAGATGTGGAGTGGGCATTTAGGGTGCTCCAATCTCGTTTTGCAATTCTTTCTCAATCCTGTCCAATTCTTGTTTCTCTTAACTTTGTTGAATCATCATGGCTTGTTGTTCTAACATAATTTTCCTGTTTTGTTTCTTCTGATCTTCAATTTCAACTAGAGTATCCCTGAATTGTTGTAAGAGATCCGTTACAGTTACATCTCTAACTTTATCTTTTCCTTATCTACGTTTAAGTCGTTCCTTTACAGCCTTCTGACCGATTGGTCTATCTTGATAAATCAATGATTCACTATCTTCTCCTAAACTAACAAAATCAGGGGTAGATGGAATTGATGAAGTCGAACTTGCATTGACATGACCTTTTTGTTTCTTGTTTGACCTTTGATGTTGACTTGCACGCTCAAATTGCCATTTGAGTTCTTTTCTTAAGATAACCCAACAATGTTCTAGTTGAAATTGTTTGTCAACACAAGAAGCATACATTTGCCGAGCATCATTAATTTGGTAAAAAAATAAATTAATTAAATAATGTTAAAATATATGTTAAACAATTTAACATAGAAATGAATATTAACATTACTCTTGATTTTTCGGTCATTCCACTTTGCTGATGATTTTCAATTTGAGTAACAAATCCAACAAATTTACCGACTTCTCTATTTATTTCTTGACATCTACTTGAGATACTTATTTGTGAACGATTATTCAAGTTTCCTCCATTATCTACAAAGTAAGCATGTATGCGAGTCCAGAATTGTTTTGTTTGTTGTTCAACTTTAGTAATTGGATCCTTGCTTATATTTAGTCATGTATAGACAAGTAAACAATCCTCCTCTGGTGAGAAATTTTTACTTCTTTGTGATTTTTTTGCCGAATGAACATTTAAATTCGAGTATATTAAGTCATCAATTAATTGATTAGAATCACTTGGTTGAGAGAGAATATCTTCTGACTTACTCATAAGAAAGTTGGTAAAAGAGCTTGGAAAATTTGAATCCATCTACATTAAAAAAAAAAAACTCAAGTTAAAACCTTACAAGAGAGTGTAAAAAAAGCTCACATTCAATGTCTAGCAATTTTGTAGTTTTCATACATGCGAATTAATAATAAGCATTGCCTCTTACTTGTTCTAACATAACAATTTGATCATTTTTTGGAACTAAAAGAGAATTGATATATTAGTTTAATTGTATTTTCAAGAAAACAAAATATAATTGACCTCGAATTAAAACAGACAATCAAAAATAAATTTTAAATATGTAACTCTATTTTTTATCAATATCAACTACCATTATTAATTCCTCTCAATTTTATCAAAGATAACAATAGAAATAAAAATTGTCTTCCTTAACCCATATTAAAAATATAAAATAATAAAGAAATAAAACTCATCACAAATATTAAATTAACAACAAAAAGTCTAAAAAATCAAGAGATATAAAAAAGAAAATAGAAAAAGCTTTTAAACAAGCATACCTTTTAATTTTAGCTAATTAACACAACCGATGTTAATAATTAACCAGAGAATAATTGATTCTTGTTTTTTTAAATTTGAGAGAAGGATGAGACACAATACAAAAATTTAAAACTACAAGTTTTTTCTTCATGTATTTATAGAAAATTTCTTCTATATTTTAAAAAAAAAGTTGTTGGCCAACGGCTATAAAAATAGTTGTTGGCCAATAGCTATCATTTTGGCTATTTCTACAGTTAAATATAAAAATGACTGTTAAAGAAACAAATAGTCATTTTAGCTATTTGTTTAGCTCCTGAATTGGAATGCAAACAATAAAAAAATAAAAGATAAAAGATATTTAGCTTCTCATTTTACTGCTCAGTTGGAGCTCCTTTTATGAAAAGGTTTTTCAGCCGAAACTACGAAAATATTTGGATTTCATCATCAAATGAAGATGTTCAACTAACAATAAGGTTGTAATCTTCGTTAACGAACATGTTCACGAAGTAAGATGAATCTTCAAACTGTTTAAGTATGAGTAAACAATCGATTACGAGGTAAAAGGAAAACACTAAAAAATGGAAAAGAAGAAGATGGAAGATATAGATTAACATTTGTGTATTCTATAATTTCTTAATGAATTATATTAAATTAATAAAATAAAATAAACTCCATTAGTTTATTATTGTAGGGCTAGACTCATTATACTGTAAATTGTTACTCGGAAAAATCAAATGGCAATTTTATTTTCCCTCTTTTGTTCATTTTTCCAGATATTCGAACTTGTATACTCTGCATAGAATGGACAGTTTTGGCGGCATCGGTCTAATTATGTGTTTAGTATTATGATATAATTTTTTGCTTGAAAATGCTATTAAAAAGATTTTTTTTTTAATTTTTGATATAGTAAGAAAATAAAAACTACTAAAAAACATAAAAAACATAAAGTGAGCCTGGCTGGGCCAAAGGGCCCCGTTTTTATTCAAAGCTAATCCATTAACTACCGGGCTCTGTCTGGTCCATCTAACTGCTTGCCCCCATGAACATACACAATGGAACTTGGTTCTCATCATATTATACTTTCTTGACAGACGATAGGGCCATGTTATGGGAAGTGGAGCGCTACAATTACTTGTTGATGCAAGCTGGTAGTTCTGGTAATGTTCAGTCAGAGCTACTTTTCCAAAAAGACACCACAACTTTTACCTTTGAGAAGGGCTGGGCCTTCCCCTGTAGAATTTATTTCAATGGCGACAACTGTGTCATGCCTCCTCCGGATGCCTATCCATGGTTGCCTGATGCCAGTTTACGCCAGCTTACCTCACCTCTTATTTTAATGATATCTTTCTTCACTATGTTGTTTTCCTGTATGGGTCGACATGCATAGACTATAGGAGGTTCACTATAAGATGCTGTAACGAGTGGATCTGCGTGACCTGAGTATATTGGAAGCGGACTGTGGAAGCGAATTGAAAAGTTAGCGGGTATATGGGATGATATTCGGCATTTCAATGGCTTCGAGATGGTGCATTTTGTTTCACCGCACAAACGTTCATGGCTAATACGTTCGTGGATGAATTCGCTGCTACTTTGTCCCTTCTAGCTGCTGTATTGTTTGTAGTCCCTATGATATTAATCAATATTGTTTGTAGAATCTCAATGCTGCAACTACCTTCTAGCTAAATTTTTCTTGTTCTTTGGTATTTTACTTCATTCTTTTTAATCAACTGGTCGAACTCCTTTGATTTATTAAATTCTAATCTTGTTGAAACTACACAGAAGGCTGGCTCATCATGGCAGAGATGTTGTAGCTAATTTATGGTCCCATGAATTACAGGCAACTATTTGTGGATGATCTCATAGACCACCATATGCTCCATTTTTTTCATGACACAGCAATTTTGTTTGCTCAAAAATTTTGATGCTCTATTACTTCCACTGCATCAAACTCTAGAAATTATCAAACCTGTATGAACAGTAAAAATAATGTAGAAATCAAGAATTGTGGGGATCCATGAGCAGAATTTGGCTGGAATGGATATGCGTCGGGCGGGGGAAGCATGCACTCGTCGCCGTTGAAATAAACTTTCAGTGGAAATGCCCATCCCTGGTTGAATGTGAAAGTGTTCTGATCCTCCTGAAGAAGCACCTCAGATTGAAGATTTCCAAGCGGCCCTGCTTCCATTAATACATCATTGTAGTACTTCAAGCCATAGGACATCCATGTGTCATCTGCACATGACATAAAAGGAATTTTATATCAAGTTCTGTTTCTGATGCAATCTCATCCTTCTAGAAATGTAAGATT